GTTGCCGTCGCTGCCAGTGCCCCGCTGCCTTCCTCTCCCAGCAGAACCAGTTACCCCAGTGCTGTGCTGGCCAGAGACGCCGGGGAGCTGCCGTGGTTGAGGCCATCCCAGCTCGTCGTTCCCACACTGGGCATTTTACAGTTTATGAAGATTAAGAGGATTTTGCATTTCTCCTCCCTTCAAATCCAACACAGAGTCAGTTTAATACTGGAATCACTCCCAGTTCTGGCCAGACTGAAAGTAATGGAGTAACTGGTGTTTCCCATCACTGAATACTGAGATCCTGGTGCTTTCTGGCTGCACAAATACCAGTGAAGGGCTCCTACAGCTCAGTGATGGTGGGAACACCTGGATGTCACCAGAGATGCTCCCACCGTGACCTACAGGACACATCTCCTCCCAAACCTGCCTTTGGGTCACTGGGAACATCCCAGAGCTCCCCATGTAACGCTCCGGTGCTGAGGGTGGGCAGAGCAGCTCCCAGGGATGGTCCAAAAGGGTTTGGGAATGGCCCCTCCTTTCCCTGTGGGCTGGAGGCTGGAGGTGGGACGGCGCAGGTGGGATTCATCCCCCACGTGTAGATGTGTGTGACTGGAGGTGTCTGGGCTGCAGCCACAGGCAGAGGGAGCCCGACTGTGGAGGACTCGGGACAGGAGAACCAGCCAAGGGGAAAGGAGACAGCCAGCCCCATCCTCCAAATGCTCCTCTAAGGAAAGGGTGTGGGACCAAAGGACGTGGTGTCAGGGTGTCCAGAAGGGCACCAGGGACAGACGTGGCACTGCCAGCTCCAGGCAGCTCAGGGAGGGGTGGACAAACCCAGGATCCCACAGGAGCAGCGTCCTGCACCGAGGGCACTGAGCACAGGCTGACAGGGACCACGGGACTGCTGCTCCCAGCCCTTCTCCCCTCCTTCCTGGCTGGGGAATTGGACTCTTGGGTGCTGAATCAGGACGCAGCCGATGAATTGGAATGGTTGGTCAGTGAGTCTGGACTCTTAGTTGGTGCACTGGGACTCTTGGGTGGTGAATCAGCTGGTGAATTGGGACTCGGTTGCAAAGTAGGACTCGGTGAATCAGGACTCAGTTGTGAATCAGGACTCGGTTGTGAATCAGGACTCGGTTGTGAATCGGGACTCGGTTGTGAATCTGGACTCGGTGAATCAGGACTCGGTTGTGAATCAGGACTCGGTTGTGAATCAGGACTCAGCTGTGAATCAGGACTCGGTTGGTGAATCGGGACTCAGCCGATGAATCCTGACTCCGGCTATTTTGTTCCAGACAGCCGGAGCTCATCAAGGGAAGAAAGGCTCCTTGTCTGGGGTCGTGGCTCTGGTCCTGTTGTGTGTCTGCAGGAGAAAAGAGGACGGCAGGGCGAGGAGGGGCCGATGCCAACTCCCTTCCCGCGTCCCGTGCCAGCCCTCTGGACCACAATGGGCCCGGCCCCCCCCTCCAGCAAACCAACCAAGCATTGAAATTTAATGGCAGTGCCGGGCCCGGGCAGCCCGGCGGGATCAGGCCTGGGATTAAAGCCCATGTGTTGCTTTGCTGGCTGGGAGGCAAATTCCTCCCCAGGGCCCGTGGAGTCAGCTCCGGTGCCCGGCACAGCACACGGCCCCTGCTCCTCCCTGTGCCCCGCTCTCCCTGCTGATGGGGAGCCCTGTCCCTGGGGGAATCCCTCCAAACCACGCTCCTCCCTGCACCTGGGAAAGCCAGAGTGGGATGAGAGCCCACAGGCTGGGAATGGGCCGTCACCCCCGGGGGACACTGAGGCACGGCGAGGGACACTGACCCCAGAGCCACGTGGGGCTCCAGGGCTCGTGGCCTCCTGGGGTGACACAGGGAACGGAGGCTGTGCCTTCCCACGGGAAACAGGAGCACTCAGGGCAGGTGAGTGGGGTCTGACGGAGCAGGAACAGCCGGGGGGGAATTGTGGGGGTGACAGAGCGGGGGGACAGGGGGACAAATCCCCCCCGTGCTCCCAACACGGGAGCATCCCTAGACCTGCTTAAATCCTTGTGACCCAGTTTTGTCCTGAACCCCAGTGAGTCCCTGCAGCCCGTGGGGTGAGTGGCTGCAGCCGAGGATGGCTCTGGTCCCTGGGTTCCTCCACTGGTCATCCCAAAACGAGGGGCTGCAGCAGGGAGTCCCCACCCGGCTCTGCAGAGGGGCTGCTCCCACCACTGCCCACCCTGGCCGTGCGTGGGCTTCTCAGAGGGGCAAAACCGGGTGGCAGGGGAAGGTGGGCACCACTCCAAGGTGGGCACCTCCGTGTGGGGCCAGGAAAGGTCTGGGGTGGAGGGACTGTGCTGGGATGGAGGGACTGTGCTGGGATGGAGGGGCTGTGCCGGGATGGAGGGGCTGTGCCGGGATGGAGGGGCTGTGCTGGGATGGAGGGGCTGTGCCGTGTCACCCTCACCTCCAAGGTGTCACCCTCACCTCCCAGGTGACACCGCCCGTGATGGAGGGGCTGCACTGTGCCAGTCTCACCTCCCAGGTGACACCATCCATGACGGATCTCTCTCCAGGCAGTGTCCAGCTGGACCCACAGGCACCATGAGAAGGATCCCAGCGAGGAGCAGGCGGTTTCCAGATCCCACCATCCAGCTGTGTGTTCCGTGGTTGTGCTCGTTCCCTGGCTGCCCCATCCCGCCTCTCCCTGCACCCCACCCTGCCAACCCCTCTGAGGGCAGCTGGAGGTGAGGGGTGCCCTCCCCTTCCATCCTCTTCCCTGCATCCCCATGGTGTTCCTCACCCACAACCCCACGTCATTCCCAGATTCCCGATCCCCTCCAACGTCCCCATCCTTACACACCCATAACCATTGCTTCTCCCCTCGCTCCTCGTACACAGCACAGATCCTCTCCCTGCTGTCACAGGGATGCTCATCCCTCCCCAGCTCCCTTTCCCTCCCTCCCAGTCCCCCGGGAAGCTCGTGCCCAGCCTGTGCCCATGCCAGGATATCCCACCTTTCCAGGCGTTTCCTTGGACATCAGCATCTCCCCTCCGCTCAGCTGGGCTCCTGCTCCACCAGCACATGGCTCTGCCCCACCCCACCCTCTTTTACTGCCGTGTCCATCCTTCCCGGAGCTGTATCCATGGTTTTACCTGTCCCACAGCTCCGTGCTGGGAAAGGAATGGCACAGACCAAACCCGGACGGTGCCGGGCGGCCGCTCCGCTTTCCGTGACTCCCGGGATCGACTGCCGGCTCCCAGCACTGCTCCTCATTTTTTAATCTCCCCGAGCGAGCTGAGAATTAATTATTTAGCAGCTCACAGGACACATCTGGAACACCCAATCCGTGCAGAGCTGCGGCTCTGGCTCCCACCTGCCCCGGGAGAGCAGCGGGAGAGGGCCAGGAGAGGGCTGGGAGAGCACCGGGAGAGCTGCGGCCGCATGCCTGCTGTGCCACACACTTAATATTGCCCGGTGATTAATGGCTCCCTGTGCTCTCCCCTGAGGAACTGGGAGCGTTGGCTCATGGCTGAATCCGTCTCCAGAAGAAATGGGTCCCTGTGGGAAGCAACACGGAGCCAGGGCCAGAGGGGAGGGTGGTGGGAATGCTGGGGTTCCGTGGGGAGAGATCCCTGCTCCGTGCCCAGCGCCAGCGGGATGGTGATGGGACCAGCCCAACCACAGTGGTGCCAGTTCTTCTCTGAGGGGATGGAAACAGGGAGCTGGGGGGCGACAACCCTGGGGGGTCTCATCCAAAGCCCCACTGACATCCTGGGCAGCTCTTGGGGCAGGAGTGGCCAGGAGCTGTCACCCCGTGTGCACGCGCGTGGCTGGGGGGACCCACGGTGGGGACAGGGATGGGGATGGGGATGGAGCAGAGCCTGGAGCGGCCCAGACACCTCCACCAAACACCCCGGGGTGTCCCATCTGCTGCGGAGCGTGCCTGGGATGGCAGCAGGATGTGTTGCACTCCCGGCCTGGCAGAGCTGGGGAGGTGTCTGGAGAGGGGGGACCAGGCACCCGCCACCCCCTGGGTGACCGATTCCCACCGTGTCCGCGCCGGGAGATCGCAGGCACCGGCAAGAGGCTTAACTTTAAAAAAAAAATGGTTTATTTATTATTATTTCAAGATCTTCCTTTTTTTTTTTTCCCCTTTTTTTGTCGTTTTTACCTGTATTTCAAAAAAAGTGGGGCAAAAGTACAAAAAAAGTCAGTTGCGGGGACGGCAAAGGTTTAGAAATCACAGCGCGGAACGAACCCAAGCGAGAAACACGGAGCACGGACCAAACACCCCCCACGACACAGCCGAATTAGTACCGGGATTTTTGTTTTCCTCTGTACAAAACACACCAAAGCATGCCACGGGAAAAGAGACAGCGGGAGGACGCAGCTGGGGGCGCAGGGGGGGAGCCTGGCTCCCCTCCCCTCCCTCCTCCTCCTCCTCCTCCTCCTCGCCCTCACGTCAGGTTGTTCTGGAGGCAGTTGAGCTCCCCCCCGTCCTGCTCCCCTTTGCCACCGTCGTGCTTGGGCGACGTCGAGTTGTGGATGTTAAAGGGCTCCTCGTCCTTCAGGCAGGATTTCAGCGAGTCCTGCAGCTTGTGGGGAGCGCTGGGATCGTCCTGCAGGAGAGACGGGGGTCAGGGGGCGATGGGGGTGACCCACAGCAGGGACTGGGTGAGGGCACCGATGTCCCACAGACCCCAATGCGGGCGCTGCCCTTGCAGGGAGACACTGGGGGGGACAAATGTCCCCCCACCCAGAGGACACCTCGGCAGGGGGGACCCGGTGGGAGAGAGGGTCCGACCCACCCGTGGTGACACGTGGCCGTGCCCCGCCACGGCTCCCCCACCCTGGGATGCTCCAGCTCCCAAAGCCACTCGCCAACAGCCCCCAAAGGCTGTGCCAGCCACAGGAGCTCGTGCCAGCAATGGGAGCCTGTGCCAGCCACGGGAACCATCCCACCCAGCCATCCCAGCCACCATCCCTACCCAGTTCCTCGTCCCGTTCCCAGCCCGGCTCATCTCACGGACAATCAGCAACTCCCGGCCTGGCAGGAGGCCAGAGGGGCTGGATTTATTGCGGATCCTCAGGGTACAGCTGGTCCCGCCGTGCCGCTGGCAAAGCCAGGGACACTCTTCCCAATGCACCCCCCCAGGAGCATCTTCCCCTCCCCGGGGCTGGGCTGTGCCCCGAGTTTGTCCCACATCCCCGGGGGAGCGGCCCCTCCGGCACCGGGGCTGAGCTCCGGCTGTGCCAGGTGACGGCTGTGCCCGGAGGGTCCTGGTGGCACCGTTGGCACTGGTGGGGCAGGACGAGCCCTGGCATGGGGGGCTGCCAGGGCGGGATGGGCGTGGTGGTTACGGTGTTCCTGGTGCCACACGGAGAGTGACGGATGGACACGGACACCGAGGGTGGTGTCACACGAGGACGGGAACCTCCATCTCCTGGGCAGCGACGTCCGGCCAGTCCGGGGCTGGTGCCATCAGCCCCCCGTGGGGTCCCAAAAACCCCTTTCCCAGGGGTGTTGCCCCTTCTGATCCCTCTGCATCCTCAGTGTGCTACACCATGTGCCAAACCCTCCACATCCCGGAGGGACGAGGGACGAGTCAGACCCCGGTGAGACGCCGGGAGCGGCACCGGATCCATCCCGAGGTTCATCCTCTCAGCAGTGGGAGCAGGCCCCGGGAGCCTCCTGTCAGGGCAGCTACGGCTGCTAAAGGCGTTGGAAGATGGGAACACCGTGGATAGGGAATGGCTTAGAGGGACCTACGCTCCTCCTCCGGCTCCGCAAAGCCCTTCGCTTCTCTCTGTTCCGAGTCGAGAGACAGGAGGTTGGACGGGCATCCCGGGGGATGCTGGTGCTGCATCCCGACCACAGCAGCAGCACCCTGGAGCGTGTCACCCTCCAGCATCACCCGCTGCCACCGGAGCCATGCGCTGCTCCTGCCGGCGATGCCACAGCCGGGGAGCATCCGCTGCCAGAGCCACAACGCCCCGGCTGGCCCGCCCTGGAAATTCCAGCCCTGCCACCCGCACGCGGGGCCAGAGCCACCGGGAACTCTGGAGGGTGGTCACTGGGGACCCGACAGCAAGGGGACAGAGCAGTGGCCTTGGCAGGATGGGGACAGGGGGGCAGTGCTGGGATCGGGGAGGGGGGGCGGACGAGACGTTACCGGGCAGAGGGCGGAGGGTGGGATGGGAAGCGGGACAGGAAGTGGGACGGGAAGCGGGATGGGAAGCGGGACGGGGGCCGGTGCCACGCAGCTCCTTACGTTTGGGTGGGAGCCCTCGGCGATGGTGGACAGGGAGAAGTTGTCGTTGTGCAGCTCGGACGGGGTGCGGTATCTGCAGGGGGACAGGAGGGCACAGGCTGAGAGTGGGGACCCCCCAGCACTCCCAGCACCCCTGGCCACGTTTCAGGGTGACCCCGGTGTTGGGAGGGCAACTGATCCAAGTGCTGGAGGTCTGGGGGGCAAATGTCCCCAGGGATGGAGGTTTGGAACTAAATACCCTCAGATCTGGGGGCTTTAGGGGGCTAAATGTCTCCATGTGTGTGAATTTAGGGGCTAAATGTCCCCATAGATGGAGATCAGGGGGCTAAACGCCCCAAAACAAGGGGGTTTGTGGAGGTCAAATGCATCCAGATCTAAGGTTTGGGGGCTAAATGTCCCCAGCTCTGGAGGTTTGGGGCTAAAAGTCCCCAGTTCTGGGGGCTGTCCATAGAGATCCTGGATGGATCTCCATCTCCCAGGGATGGAGACTTGGGACTAAATGAGCTCAGTGTGACATTTTGGGGGGCTCTGAGCCCCCGTCCCCGGGGGTTTGGGGTGACCCCCGCCCTGGGCAGGGAGCGGGAAGGGCAGCCCGGGGCAGCGGGAGCCGCCGCTCCCAGGGCCGGAGAGGGAGACCCAGGGGCTGGCACGGAGCTTCCCTGCTAATTACACTTGGCACTTCCAAACACTAATTAACAGCTCATTAGGGACCGGGCTGGGAGGGCTCCCTCCTCTCGTTCCAGGAGCTGGGCAGCAGCGGCCGCGGCGGGGGGGTGACCCCAACCATTCCCTGTCCCCCCCAGCCGGGCCATTTCCCGGCGAGCCCGGCCGGTGTCCCCAGCTCCCAGGGCAGCAGATTAACTGGTGCCAGTCAGCAGCAGCTTTAAAGGATTAACCGTGGAGCAGGAGCCACATCCACGGCCCCGCCGCGCTCCCGCCTCCTCCGGGAGCTTTCCCACCCACACGTCACCGTGTCCCCACCGGCACTGGGGGGTCCCGGTGACACCAAAGGATGGGACCACACCCCACCGGGAGCTGACCACCCCCCCCGCCGCGGCCGTCGGGGCGTTTGGGGACGGTTTGAGGGGTGGCAGCACTGTCCCCACAGGGACAGAGCATCACACCCAACCCTGGTGCTACTGCCGGGAGCCGAGCCCACCCCCCGCCGCGGCTGTTTGGGGACAGTCTGGGGACATTTTGAGGGGTGCCAGCACCGTCCCCACAGGGACGGGATCGCGCCCGGCCCCGTTGCGATGCCGGGATCCGAGCCCACCCCCCGCCGCGGCTGTTTGGGGGCACCTCGGGGGGCAGCGCGGGGGGCGGCAGCGCCGTCCGTCCCCTCCCCGCGCCACTCACTTGGTCTTGCGCAGTTTGCTGTTCTCCGTCTTGAGCAGGTAGAGCTTCTTGGCGAAGAACACGGTGAGCATGAAGAGCAGCAGCACCACGAGCGCGGCCGAGCCCACGGCCACGCACATCACCTGGAAGTCGGTGACGATGGACTCGCAGCGCGTGCCCTTGTGCCACGTGTAGTCCTGCGTGTTGCACCTGCCAGGGCACCTCCGTCAGCGACCCCTGCCCCAAAAACGTGTCCCCCCCCATCCCACGGAGCGACCTCGGGGGATGTGGCGTCTGCAATCGGGGGGATTACGGGTGTCTGGGGGGGAGGAGATCAACGGGTCCCCGAGGGGGACCTTGGAGCTGAGGGCTCGGGGGGGCTAAATGTCCCCAGGGATGGAGATTTGGGGGCTAAGTGTTCCCAAGGATGGAGGTTTCACACCGCAAAACAGGGGCTGAGTGAGATGGGGACACTGGGGGCCAGCGCGGTCGGGGTCCCCCACTGATGCCGGTCCCCCTCGCCGGGGGTTCCCAGCGCCGGGAGCAGTGGGAGCAGGGCTGGGGGGACCCCCGCGGGGCCGGGCTCGGTGCCAGGCGCGGGGCGTGCCCCGATCCGTGCGGCACAGCCGGCACCGGCCTCCCCGGCGCATCTGCCGGGGCCGATTAGCGCGGCCGCCCCGGAGCCGCGGCTGCACAGCCCTGACCTAATTCCTGCCCAGCCGCCGCTCGGGGGGCAGGGAAACCCCTCCGCGTCCCGGCGGGATCGGGATGCGGGGCCGGAGGGACCTGGGTGAGGGGCAGAGGGTGGAGAGCCTGGGAATGGGGTACAGGGCGATGGAGAGGTCAGGGATGGAGATACTGAGGATGGAAAGACTGGGAATGAGATGCACAGGGATGGAGAACCCAGGGTTACATGGGGATGGGAAGACTGAGAATGGGGCACAGGGGATAGAGAGCCCGGGGATGGGATGCCCAGGGATGGAGAGCCTAGGGATGGGGTGCCCAGGGGTGGCGAGCCCCCACGTGTCCCCCAGCCCCCCCCAGGGCCCCGGGGTCCCCGTCCTTACCGGCAGAAGGCCCCGTGGCTCTCCACCAGGTAGCACTGGCCGCCGTTGTGGCAGTAGCTGGGCACGAGGTCGCAGAGGGAGCGGCAGGAGCTGTTGTGCCGCACGTACCCGCTCCGGCACTCGGAGCCGTTGTCGGGCTGGCCCCGCTCCCCGGGCCGTGGCCAGGCCGTGGGGCTGCCCCCGGCCACGCCCGACGGCAGCGGGGCCGCGTCCCGGCGCCCGGTGGGCCGGGGGTCCTGCGGGGCCGGGGCGGCGCCGGGCACGGCCGAGGCGGGCGGCCGGTAGCCGTTCTCATCCTCCAGCTCCCTGTCTTCCTCCTCCTCCTCTTCCTCCTCGTCCTCCAGCTCGTCCTCGTCGTCCCCGTCGGCGTAGAAGGAGGTGGTGGGGTAGAAATCGGCGTCGTCGAAGGGCGTGAAGTCGTCGTAGAGCTCGTGGAGGGCCCAGGGCGTGGCCGCCCCCTCGGGCTCCCTCCGCCGCGCCGACCCGGCCGCCTCCCGGCCGGCCCCGGGGAAGCCCCCCAGTCCGTCGCCCCCCTCGAACAGGTCGTAGTAGTCGACGTCGATGATGTCGGAGCCCGCCCGGCCGGGCGGCGGCTTGGCCGGGCCCGTGGCCGCCGTGATGGGCTCCTGCAGCCACGTCAGGTCCGTCCAGCCGCGAGCCCCCTGCGCCGGGGCCGGGCTGGACGGGGCCGCCCAGAGCTCCGGGGGACCCCCCGAGTCCCCCGCGGCGGCGGGCACGGGGCTGGGCTCGCCCGGCGCGGGGCTCGGGGGCGCGGCCGAGCCCCCGGCCGCCGGCAGCAGCTCAGATTCGGCCGAGTCGGTGGCGAGCTGGGGGCCGGGGGGGCTGGGCGGGGCGGCCGGGAGACCCCCGACGCCCCCTGGGCTGGGCAGGGAGGCCGCCGTGGGCCGCTCGCCGCTCCCCGGCTCCTCGGGGCTGCCCAGGGCCACGGGCACCGTCCCCCCGGCCCCGGGCCAGGTCACGGCCCCGGGGGGAACGGCGCTGGCATCGCCCTCCCCGGAGCACCCCGGGCACCCCTCCGGCGTCGCCGACGGGTCCGTGGTGGCCGTGCCCCCCCCGGGGGGCTCTAGCTGGGGTCCTGCCGCGGCCCCCTCGGGGCTGGTGCTGTTGCTGGGTCCCCCCGGGGGGTCTCCGTTCGCCAGGTCCCATTTCGGGGGGCTGCTCTCCAATGAGCCCACCCAGGCTCTCCCCTCGGCATCGCTGGTGTTTTGGGGGGGCCGCTCAGATGCTGGAGGGGGACAAGGAGAGAAAGGCGTGTCAGAGGTGCCCCCGCACCTCTGGGAGGACGTGGCAACCCGAGGGGGTCCCGACAGGCCCCCACCTGCTTGACCTTGCACACACCAGCACCTCAACAAGCTATTTGGGGGGGGGGGTTGCACCCTGAATCCTTGAGCCTCTCCCAAGGACCAAAGGGATGAACCCCGCAGAAACCCCCAGCTCTGATGGAGCCCCTGCGCCCAGTCACCCCCACAACTCTGTGACCCCCCCAGCAATAGAGACACCCCTCCAACACGGCCCCTCCCAAACCCAGATGCCCCTGGCCCAGCCCCCTCAGCTGCCCTGCAAGGGGACCCAGCCCTCCTCTGCTTCCTGTAAATGCACCCCCCACACACAGGGGGATTCAGCTCCCTGGAATGGGATCCAGACTCCCCCTCGCCCAGCAGATCCGGCCCCCTCTGCCAGGGGATCCAGCCCCCTGCAATGGAATCCAGCCCCCTGCAATGGAATCCAGCCCCCTTCCAAGGGGATCAGCCCCTCTGGCTCCTGTATATGCATCTCACATACAAAACAGGATTCAGCCCTTCCCACAACGGGATCCAGCCCCTACAGGGGGATCCAGCCCCCTGCAAGGGGATCCAGCCCCTACAGGGGGATCCAGCCCCCTTCCAAGGGGATCCAACCCCCTTCCGAGGGGATCCAACCCCCTTCCGAGGGGATCCAGCCCTCCTCCGGTTCTTTCAAGTGCACTCCATATGCACAACCAGATCCAGCCGCTGCAACAGGACCCAGCTCCCTGCAAGGGTATCCAGCCCCCTTCCAAGGGTATCCAGCCCCTCCTGCAATGGAATCCAGCTCCCTTTCAAGGGGATACAACCCTCTCTGGTTCCTGCAAGTGTGCCCCATAACCCCAAGAGAATCCAGCCCCTGCAAGAGAATCTCGTCCCTCCTGCAAGGGGCTCCAGCCCTTCCCTGCCTCCTGCAGATGCCCCCCCTACACACGCGGGGATCCAGCCCCTGCCGCAGGGGATCCGGCCCCCGGCGGGGGGATTCCGGCCGCCCTACAGGGGAATCCAGCCCCACGCCAGGGATCCGGCCCCACGCAAAGGATCCAGACCCCACCGCAAGGCATCCGGCCCCCGGCAAGCGGATCCCGCCCGCCCCGCAAGGGGATCCAGCCCTTCCCCGTCTCCTGCAGATTCCACCACGCATAAAGGGGATCCAGCCCCGGCAACAGGATCGACACCACCAACCCCCCCCCCCCACCGGGGCCCCCCCCCCCCCCCCCCGGGGGATCCACCCCCCCCCGGGGATGCAGCCCCCGGCAATGGGATCCAGCCCCGGGCTGGGGATCCCCCCCCGCCCCGCAGCCCCCGCCCGGCCCGCAGCATCCCCCCCGCTCCCCACCCGGGCTGGGGATCCCCCCGCGCCGGGATCCGCCCCCCCACCCCCCGTCCCCATCCCGCGTCCCCCCCGCGCCCGATCCCCGCGGTCCCGGAACGCACCGAGGGCGCCGATCACGAGCAGCAGGGCCAGGGCGCGGGGGGCGCGGGGGGCCATGGCGGCATGGAGGGACCCCGGCTGGGCCAGGGGCCGGCACCGGCAGCGGCTCCGCCCGCCCCGCTCCGAGCGAGCCGCGCCGAGCCGAGCGGAGCCGCGCCGAGCCGAGCCGGGGGGCCGGGCCGGGCGGCGGGGGCGGGACCGGGGACGCGGCGGCGGCACCGGGAACGGGCACGGGCACCGCACCCCCCCCCCCCGCCCCCCCCCAACATCGGCATCCCAGGAGGGGGACGCCGAGGGGCACGTTCCGCCTCTTCCCCGCATCGGTATCCCCGGGGGAAGGACCGGGGGGCACATCCCAGCTCCCCCCCGGCACCAGCGTTCCCTGGGGGGGGATACCGGGGAACCCATCCCGGCATCCCCCAGCGTCGGCATCCGCCGTCACATCACCCACCCCCAAAGTGCTGCTCTATGGGGCGGCGTCCCCGCACCGGGACCCCCCTGCACCCCCCAGCATCGGCATCCCCGGGGGGCACATCTTGGCACCGGCATCTCTGGGGGGCACCAGAGCACCCACCCCGGGACCCTCCAGCACCACGGGACACCTCCCGGAATCCCCCGGCACCGGCGCCCCCCTCTATCCCCCCAGAGTGCTCCTGCACGGGGCGGGGACACGTCCCTGCACCAGCTCCGGGGGCCCCTCCCAGCATCCTCAGCTAATAGGGGGGGACCCCCAATGCACCCCCGAGCCCCCCACTCCTGCACGGCCCTGGGGGCAAAGCCACTGCCCGGGGGCACCGTGGGGCTCTGGCCCAGAGCGGGGGCTGTGACCACTCACACCCCCCAGCAGAGACCCCAGTGTCGGGTCACACCCTCCTTGACCCCCCTGTGGGCTCCCCACAGCCACGGTGCCACTTCCCGGTCCCAGAGTGGTCCGGGTGCCACCAGGGCTTGTGTCATCTGTGACCCATCCATGAGGGGCTGGGGATGAGGGCAGGGGTACAGGCAGGGGATGTGGGCAGGGGGCTGCTCCCACCAGTGGCTCAGGCAGGACGTGTGTGCGGGAGAGCGGCGGCTCCTTGGCTGTCCCAGCACCCCAGGCTCCATGGATACCCCATCCCCCATGGATACCCCATCCCCCATGGATACCCCGTCCCCCACGGCCACCTCATCCCCCACGGCCGAGCTCTCGGCTGGCTGAGGCTCCCCAAGGTCACCGTGTGTCCTTGGATACCTCCACCTGCAGCACAGGAATGTGCCCGTCACGGCTGCTCCCCCATCCTGCATCCCACGTCAGGCATTCCACATCCTGCATCAGGCATCCTGCACCGAGCATCCCAAATCCTGCACTGGACATCCCACATCGGACATCCCACATCAGGCATTCCACATCCTGCATCCTGCACTGGGCATCCCACAACCTGCACCCCACATTGGGCATCCTGCATCCCACGTCCCACATCAGGCAGTCCATAACCCGTGGCAAGTATCCCACATCCTGTATTCCACATCAGGCATTCCACATCCCAAATCCCGCATCCCGCATCAGCCATCCCACACCCACATCCCAAATCTTGCATCCTGCATCAGCCATCCCATCCCACATCCCAAATCCTGCATCCCGCATCAGCCATCCCACACCCACATCCCAAATCCCACCCCAGTGAGGGATGCTCGGGGCAGGGCCAGGGGCCCTGGGGGGCAGCAGGGGCTCCCTGGGGGTCCCATTTCGGTGCCCCCCATGTGGGTCCCACATCAGCTGGGCTGTGACCCCCTCTGGTCCCTCCCTGACCCCCCGTCCTGCTCCGAGGGGCCCCTGTGTGTGCAGGGCTTGGGGCCTGGGCTGGGGGCACTGCCAGGGATGGGGGTCCCCTCTCCCCCCCAATTCCTGGCTGGGCTCCGTGAGCCAGGAACAAGCCCCGCTCTGTCCCTCTCAAAGGGGGATTGAAGGGGCTGCACCTGCTTAGTATTCCCCAGGCTTCCGCCCCTGGATGCGTTTCCAAGGGGACGGGCCGAGGGGCCGCCGGGATGGAGGGGGGACACGGCTCTGATGGCCGGGAAAGGGTTGGGAAGAGGCGTCGGGGTCCCACGGGCTGGGGGGTCCCTGGGCCAGGCCCCCACCGGGGCAGCAAGAGGCCAAGGGAAGGAGGGTGGGATCCGGGATGGGGATGGGATGGAGG